TGGTAAATGCAGTGGATTGCTCTGCTCTCTTCCCTCTGAGTCTCTGTGAACAGGTTCTCCTGTATGGTCCTGGGGGTTGGGGATGCCTTTCACAGCTGTGTCTTGGCTCTTGGGTATGTATGTTTCATTTGTTGATAGAAGGCACTAGTGCATATTGAAATGTATGTGTAAGACTCCTATTTGCTGAATGATCCGAGCAGGAGTTTTGTAAATTTCAATAGCATACTGCCCATTCCAAAAAACAGAGCAGATGAATGTTTTGGTATACAAGTGAGATGCATGCTGGACACCCACTACATTAACCAGTGAGCAAAGTCTGCTGTAGAGGTCACTCAGGAGTAGATCTAGTAGGAGAACAGGGAGGAAAAAAATCCCATAACATTTTTTGTTTTTCATTGCAACTTCAGTGCCACTAGTCCTTTTTCCAATTAACTCTACTCAGGAACATAGTGGTGAATACTACAGGCAGACTGCTTCAGCCTTTGTACTTGAAGACAAATTATAGCTTCCAGATCTGTCAAGCCTGACAAAGTGTTCTTTAAAGTTATAACAGAACTGTGCTTAAAATAATATATAAGCTACACTTTCAGATCATGGGTTGAGGTTGGGTAGCTTCGTGTGTGTGTGTGTGGTGTAGAGGGGAAGGAAGAGGAGTGAACTGAGAAATTTCAAAGAAATGTTGCACTAGAGAGCCAAGAGTAAGTCAGGTGGGCTATAACCTTCAGAGATAAATAGACTAACACTGTTCACACAGACACCAAAAAGTAGAAGATGAATTACAAATATATTTTTCCTCTCGCATTAAGAGTCCAACCCATCTCTCATTTAAGTCAATAGAAAGTCTCCCTACTTCTATACCCCATCCTCCCAATCACCTGTTTTCCCCTGGCACTGGTGGTGTGTTGGGACAGGAGGTGGCACAGCCAGCGTGTGCTGCAACACCAGAAGGGATTGCTGGAAGAACAGCTGTAGGGGGCTGTTGCAAGTTGGTATAAGTTAGAGGGGTGCTGTGTATGTTCTTACTTGTGCCAGGGATCAGGGAAGTGCCCTGCCACCCTTCTTCAGGCGTGCTAAGCAGAACTCTGGCACAACCAAGGATCTAGGCCCAGCCTAGAGCACAAATAGGTTTGAGAAAAGATGACAAATTTGCTCTCCCACATGCGATTTGTATCCTTTAATATCTTTGGAGTAGGAATTATCTTGTATTGTGTGTCCTGTACAGCTTTCAGTACATTTTCAGTGCTTGACAAATAATAAAATGAGAACAATGAGGGTGCTGGTTGTGGTTTTTCTACCTGCCCAAGAGAACTAAACTGAGTGGGATTAGTTTTGACAACTGAAGATCCAGGATCTGTATCAATAAATCTGGACCTTTGGAATTCTGCCATGTAGCACTTTATTAGGTTAAAGATGTAAGCAGAAATTATATTATACAAATTTCAAGGCCAGACATGTGGTACTTTAAATGAAATATGTGTTTGTTACAGCTTATTTATTTTTTTTAAAAGCACCACAAGCTATTTGCTTTATCTACAGTACGGAACATTTCAAAAAATCCGCTCTGCCCCTGCCAGTAGCAGTTATTGTGGAAATCAGGCTAGACTGCGGGTTTTACTATTAAAGGTCGGAAAAGAAAAATCAGGAAAAAGATCTAATAGTGAAAGTGCTATTAGATGTCTGATGGTTGACATTTCTATTCTGAAAACATACCAGTCACTTGTTATCCAAAAAAGTCAGTTCTTTGCTGTCGTGATACAACTGAGAAAGGCCAGCACTGCTACTAATAGAGAGAACTATTGCTCTTTTTCTCAGATGGAAATATTTTACCACAAAGGTCAGGACTGATATCACTTTTAATAGGCAGAACAGTGACTTGTTGAGAAAATCTGTAAACCTTTAGACCTCAAGCTCCTGAAGTCAATGGAGCTCCATACAAGGACCTTTCTTCCTGGAGCAGCTTGCAGGACTGGGATCTTAATACCCAATCCTGCATAGGGATACAGAGAACTATTCAGTATATGCCCCCACTTGTGTTGCATTTCTTTTGAGAAAGCCAGCCATTGAGTGGGCTGAGCAGTGGCTGCCAAGCCTCTATGCAGTCTTTATCTGCTTATGTCTGTGGGGCAGGAAAAGGCAGACTCTGGGCCCTACCTCCTGCTCTGGCCCCTATATGCAGTTCTAGTAGCATGCAGAGGCTGCAGTGAAGCCACAAGAGGCTGGGGGAGAATACAACCCAGAAGAGGAACACAAGACTCCTGGGGTCGTTCTAATATATTCTGGTTACCACTTCAGAACCTGGCCAGATCAGAATCCAGGTGGCACAAAAGATGGCTCACAGCCACCTTTGCCTCTGCCTACTAGTACGCATCTATGGCATTGCAGCTCCTAAGAAGCACAGCACAGTATCTGTCCCAGCAGGTGTGTCAGGACCTAAGGACATTTGTTCTTTCTTCTACACACACACACACACACACACACACGGCTATTATCTAAACATACACATACATGTATACAAAAGTACATTGAAGACCTGAGTGCTCGTCTCAATCTGTCCTATATTCTATAGGTTATCTAGAGTGCACATTTGTTTAGAGCTGGTTGCGTTTCTAGCATTTGATAATACTCTTTTTGTCAAATACGTAGCAAAGGGAAGAGGGGGACATTTAAAGAGCGAAACCAAACAACAAAACAAAGTCTGAATAAAAATACAGAGAAATCCCTATACTCAAGCATCTGGTGCGGGTGACTGTGTAAAATGCGTATCTGTTCAGCCTTCAAAAGATGGTCAGGACTGTTCATCTCAATGCCATTGGAGGCATTCTTTCTGTACGTATGATCCTGCAGAGAGAATGCCTCTGGTAGGGTGATGCAGCAATACTTCCACCACACTATGGCTGTGTGTCCTAGGACAAAAACAAATACGCTGGGCCTCTCTGCTTGTCCTGCAGAAGCAGTTAATAAACTTGTTGTTTTAACTGTTTTGAAATTATGGATGATGTTGATATACAAACAAGGAAGGAAATGAAAAGTGACCTTAATTTCAAGTTGCATGAAAATCACATAAGAAAAATTAGTGTTTCAATAATGCAAGAGGAAAAACTGGTAGGAATGGAAATATTGTCAAGTTTCTGAGGCCATCACCAATAAATGAATAAAGGGAACAAAATGATTGGCAGTGTCATGTTAAGATTTTCCATTGCAGTACATATAATAAAGATAACCCTTTGCAAGAACTATAACAGTCATTGCAGTCCAAGTAGGAAACATGCCACCATCAAAGAAGGGAAAGAAACCTTTCATAAAACGGAGATATGTATCTGCTTTGTGCAGAAGGCACAATTATAACAGGAAGTAAATCATTAACTAAATGCTATCGTTTTCCCAGAATTCTTACCATAAACAAACATTTATTAGACTGTGTTTTACTAACGTCAACCAATAAAAGAAAATATCACTATGTACAAAAGCTTGATGGAAAAACCTTTAAGCTTGTCAAAAGACAACCTTCAATCTGCATCAAACTGAAGGTCTATATGCTATAGAGCTGTGGCTTTCAACCTGTGGTCTGCAGATTATGTCAAAGACAACCAAAGGGGTCCGCACCTCCCTTTGAATTTTTTTAGGGGTCTGCAAATGAAAAAAGTTTAAAACCACAGCTATAGAGCCTCATATCCAGTGCTGGCTGCAGTTTTTCACCTGTAAATAACTGTGCCTGCATTTTTGTGTCTGCAATGAATTGTATACTACTCCTGGGGGAATTCTGTGCCACTGCGCAATGCAGAATTTTGCAGCAATTAATGGTTTTTGCACATAATTTCCTTTCCCCGAGAGAAATGGGCTGCAGTGCTGTTGGCCGCCACTAGGGGCTGCTGGACCTGGCCGAGCCCAACTCGTACACAGAAGACACTGCAGGTTAGCGCTGGGGAGGAGAGTAGAGGGTTCCCAGCAGCTGCAGCTTCCTGCACGCCCTGAAGGAACGAGACGGTGGCATGCAGGAAACTCCACACAAGCCTGGCTGGGACCCAGCACCAGGCTGTTTCTCCTTCTGGAACCCTGGGCATTAGAGGGACGGGTGTCTGGGCTGGGGAGGCCACGGCTGGGCTCTGTGGGTGAGGGGGACGGGTATCTGGCTGGGGAGGCCATGATTGGGCTCTGGAAGGGACGCGGAGGGTGTCTGGGCTGGGCGGGGGGAACATCTGGGCTCTGGGAGAGAGGGGGATGGGTATCTGGGCTGGGGGGGGGCAACAGATGGGCTCTGGGAGGGGAGGATGTCTGGGCTGGGGGGACCACGGCTGGGCTCTGGGCTTCGGGGGAGGGTATCTGGGCTGGGGGGCAGAGAAACAGAAACTGGGTTGTCATATGGGTTTCTTTAATTCTCTACTCTAGGGGAATTTTTGTGTGTGTCTGTATTGCTATAGACATACTTGCTGACAGGTATTTTGAAATCAATTACCAAAATAATTGAAACTGGCATGATTATGTAGTGTTATTTAGACAAATAACATTTGCAGAATTTTAAAATATTATGTGCAGAATTTTCAATTTTTTGGCGCAGAATTCCCCCAGGAGTATGTGTACACAACTATTCGTAGTTAAATATCTACTTTTGTGCCTACAGATCAGGTAATTAGCCATTTTACTAACATCGCACCTATAATTAGACAAGGTTGAAAAACTTCACTTGCAAAAACTGAGATCTGTCTGCATATCAAGCCCCTTGGTTCCAGTTTCTGCTGTTACACTTGTGCAATCTCCACTGAAATCATATGTGTTACTCCATAAGTGTAACTGAGAACAGAATTTGACCATAAGTGTCAACTTAATTTTGCCTGGAGATAGTAGGGTCTGATCTTCCCATAGTTGCTTAGATACTACAGTGATGAGCACAGTTTAAGAACATAAACAGAACTGAACTGACTTCAGTGGTAGTTGGATTTTGCCTTAGAAACCAGAAAGAAGGTACACATTTATTTAAGGGCAATCTGAGGTAATAATCTTACCTGAAGAAGTTTCCTGATTCTTTTCAGGTTGTGTATCAACAGGAGGTTCTTTTCTTGAGAAACACGGTCTAACTGTTCATCCAATTGTATTAACAAGTTCTGTAAGAGGATTGTTGCCATTGGTTCATTGTTGGAAGCGACCTCCCTATGCAACACAAAATTCTTAACATGAAATATGCATGTGAATGAACAAAAATGTCATGATATATGTCAAGTTATTTGCTAAGTAAGTTATAATCTGCATCTTGGTGAAAAATTCAGAATTAAAGGAAACAAGTAAAGACTTTTTTAAAAGATAGTTTGCTTCTTGCATGCAGTCTGGAGAAAAGAGTAGATGAAACCGTTTCACACTACAAAATACAAACAAACAAAAAAAACAAACCTAAAACTAACTGACATTTTTTCATGCAAAAAACTGTAATGTTAATATTCTAAAAACAAATAAAATATTTTGTATAGAGATGAGTCCAAACAAAAATCTATTCAATCACACCTGAAATTTGAGGTTGAAAGAGAGAAATTTGAGGTTTAAAAGTTATAGGACAGCTCGAATGACTATGTATTATCTGATTATATTAAGCTTTAATATTGTTTCTCTTCATTAAAGATAGATGACGCCATATTTCAATAAATGTGTGATAAAGAAAATTTCATTCAGCTTACTTCTTTAAAGAATTATTTTTAAATAAAAATGTGGTATTTGATTTATTAAAAATCAAAGCAAGAAAGAGATCCCTAAACACTAATTAGTGTTTTTATTATAAATCTGCCCCGACAAGTAAAATATATGCAATGGAAATCTGTAATTGGTAAATTAATGTCGTGAAAACATTGGCACTTTTAATGTTTCCCTCTGAATCTCTCAGATAAATAAAGGGCAACATGCTATGTGAATAAGATGGCCTTTAATACATAACTAAAGGTACACTTTTCTTGCAAAGCATGTTCCTTCACAGTTCACAAGCAAACATGCTAGAAATCTGCCTGAATAAACCATAAAGTTTCCACAAATCAAACCTTAGTAGATAGAAGAACATTTAATCCTACCAATCTTGGCTTTCTATCCACTGTGCTAGTAGATGTCGGACTTCCATGGGAAAGTTATCATCATAGAACTGGTCTACCTGCTCCAAAAACTTTATTTCCAACTGCTGGACTTGACTCCACTGAGACATACTATAAAAGAAATGGTGAAATTGGTTTAATATTTAATGTATAATCTTTGATACTACACAAGCACTCCATGGCATGTGTATCATTCGTTTTCAGCATATGTTCATCCTTTGTCATACCATGTTATAGTCCTCCTACCCTTCATTTTTTCTGCTTTCAAAGGTACACTGTCCACCTGAAACAGTGAATTATTCAGTTAAAAAAAAAGAGTAAACAGTAGTTTCAGGTGTAAGACCGATCTGGGTACCCTGCGGATTTCTGTGGTTTCACACCACCTTTTCCTTTTTATTGTAAATGATTTTCTCTCCCTGGTTGCTGTGTGAAAGACTCATAAAAGTAGATCATAAAAATATCAGGCAGAACAGTGACTTTTCTTTTAACAGTATTTCCCTTTTCAGAAAAGTAGTTTACAAAGCCAGATATCATCACTTACAAGACCAGTAAGCTGGCAGGAAGGTGCCCTTGTTGGTTTGATTAATTCACACTACTCTGATTTTATATTCCACTTATCATTGTATTTCATCAACTTCAGCTGGTTCTAGAACTCCATCCTCTTCTCTATTGAGGTGCAATATCCTGCCCTAGGACATTGAGTTATTGCTCTAGTACATCTTTAACTGCAATAAACCTGTGTGCACTTTGGGTCCAAACCCAGGAGTGGGAAGGCCACATAAGAAATAAAAGAGATGAAAATGTAGGCATGATCAGGGCATCTACTGCCCCACTCTGAAATTCATATCTAGACTAAGCGCCTCTATATCTATCTCACCTAGAAGGATTGTACCTTGGGGTTGCTTAAGATTGTAGTTGTATGTTTTTGGTAAACTTAGTACTGGGAAGAAAGGCAGATACAAGGAATAGGCCACCATGTGATGAGCTTGCATGGGGATAAGGGACAGACATTAGACCTGCATCGTCACTCCATACTCAGGCAAAACCAACATTAACTTCAGTAACTTGAGTGCGGGATTGCAACAATCTTTCAAGGTTGTAAATATTGGGCCAGATTCTCATGCTGCATCCAACTTCTCCCGGGCAGACTAGAGTGGGAGGGGTGGCCATCAGGAAGCTGGTTATACCTCCCTGATTCTCTGCCTTAATCCTGAGCACACATTAGAGTAGCTTAGAGGCTGCTCTAAAGAGCACCTGTTGGAATCATGTTCCAGCCAGTGCTCCTGCCTAACCCTCTCCATTCCTCCCCACCCCTAACATACTTCCTATGCTGGGGGCTGCAAAGAGGGAGTGACAAAGGAGCAAGCTATATCAGCTCAGTATCCCTAGCATGGTCTCAGTGGTACAAAAGAGGTAGAGAGTGAGCCGACGAAGTGAGCTGTAGCTCACGAAAACTTATGCTCAAATAAATTTGTTAGTCTCTAAGATGCCACAAGTACTCCTTTTCTTTTTACGAATACAGACTAACATGGCTGCTACTCTGAAACCTGAGAATTTAGACCATATTTATTTTTTTAATTTACATTTTTATGTTGTAAAAAGTTATTACCAATCAATGCTGCAGATATTTTGCATATTTCAGAGTAAAACAGATAAGGGGAAAACACCCAAACAACAAAAATGTTGCTACAATGGCCTGTAACGCCTTTATTATTAATTATTATTTGATGATATTACCTAAAAGCCCCAATCTCTGCTTGAGACCTGTAACAGGGTGGGTTTCTCTTTTTAGGGCCAGGAGGCCTGGGGCAGTCAACCCTGTGCTGTAATTAGCCCCATCTTAGCTAGACGGGGTAGGGCTAATTGTGGTCAGGTGACAGTATGAGACACCTGAGCCTCACAAAAGGGCTGAGAAAACTCAGTTTGGAAGATGAATCACAGGGAGCAGGTTGGGTTCTTGTAGGTCCTTAAATAGGGGGTGGAAGAGGGAATGAATCTGAAAGGGGATTCTAGGAAAGGAGCCAGAGTGACTTAAAGGTAACCCACAAGGGATAGGGAGCTGAGTCTGGAGGGTGGGCTAAAGATGAGCCCAAGCAGTGTGAAAGACCCTTTTGTTTGTGTGAGTTGCTGTTTTGGGCTTTCTGTACCATTGGTCAGGCACAGGGCCAGAGGAGAGGAGCAGGGAGGTTCTAGAGGTGACAATCCCTCCAATACGCCATCCTGGATGTTGGGGATGGTACTGTGGTGAGTGGAACTGCTTACAGGGCCCCATTGTACTAGGTGCTGCACAAAAATTACAGCTTGTTGAAGTGGTTTTGAGAGAAAAAAGACTGTGGAACTGTCAGTCTTTTGAGACAAATGTAGATTAACAGTTTTTCAATGTGAAAATTCAAAATGAAGCATTTTATTTTGAGTCGTTTCATAACGTCAAACATGGTCTTAAGCCATATATTCAGTGTCTTCATTATTACAACAATCTGTAACCTTCTAACCCCCTTTTTTGTCCTATGACTACAGGGTGTTAATGGGCCACTTCACCTAGAATGGCCCCTTAGTTTAGCATTAGTAGTTAGCACATTGCATCTCTTTGACCTTGTATTTAGCTGTTACACTCTAGGTATGTCTACATTGCAATTAAACACCTGTGGTGCACCTGTGCCAGGTGACTTTAGCTCAGAGGCTTGGGTTAAGGGGCTGTTTAATTGCAGTTTAGACTTCAGCCTGAGCCCAAACATTAAAACTAAACAGCCCCTTAGCTCAAGCACTGAGAGCCCAACTCCACTGGCATGGCCCAGGCATGGGTGTCTAAACTGCACCGAGTACCTTTCCCAGACCTGAGGAAGAGCTCTGGGTAGCTCAAAAGACACCCCCCCACCCCCCAACAGAAGTTGGTCCAATAAAAGCTATTACCCCACCCACCTTGTCTAGCTAACTTTAAAAAAAAGCATTTTGTTTTGATTGAAAATATAACAATTTTGTAGAACTTTATTTTTGGGTGACTTGTTGATATTTCAATTTGTTGTCCCATTTTGTTGTGATGCGTTATTCATAAAGCAGAATTTCCATTCTGTAGAAAATCCTGATGTTTTAAAAACAACCCTAGTTCTGAATCTGAAAAATCAATTTTCCATAGAATCCAAATTCCAAAATGTTAATTCTCAAGACTGAACAGTTTACTTTGATGTTTAGATAAGGTAACATCATTTAGGGTATTTAATATAATTGTGATACTAAAATATTAATGTTAATGTCTACATTCAACAAAACTACAAAGTCAAAAGTGTTCTGTCTCATTGAAATGAAACGGTTCCATGTCCTCCAAATGAATTAAAAATAACTTTATAGATGCTTAAAATTTTTAATTAAAGGGAAAATAATATTTTTTGAATAAGAATCTCAAACCAAACACTAAAACATTATGAACTTCCATTTTTAGTTTTCATTGACCCAAAGGAAAACACTGAAGAAGTTGAAGTACTTTATGGGTATAATTGAGTCCTGTGGCCTTAATCAGGCAACATTAAGGGAGGTCAATGAGAGTCTTTCCGTAATAAGTACTGCATAACTTAGTCTTGTGATATGTGTTACTGAGTGCTGTACATTAAGTCAATAAGAGCACCTAAGTTTAAAAACTGATTAACAGCCAAATCTTGAGGTCTTTATATAATTACTGATTTATCCCCCCTCCAGATATTGTTATGAATATATGGCAATTCTCTCCAAAAAGAAGCTTGTGAATATTTATGCATTGATAATGATATGCAGATCTTATTCAGCATTCATTTCTCCAGGATTACATTATTACAATTTATAAAAACTCCCTGCAACATCACTTTCAAGCCGCCTCCTTTTTACATTTCTTCTATTTAGTGGAAGAGAAAATGTTACCAACTATTTACTTTTGTTTTCTGGTAATTGGGTATGAAAGCATTTCATTCCCTTTCTGCAGCTGTATTGATAACTTTACACAGTTTGCATAACTGATCAATGATGTATATGAAGAGGGAAATGCATGTGTTCCTTCCAAACTGATGACTGTGTCTTTTGCATATATAAAGACTGGTGATTTTTCTCACACACACAATCCATCCATCTTGTGCAACTTCTGTGGCCTGAGCTATAGAGGAGCTCAGACTAGAGCAGGAGTGGCCACAGTGAGCCTGAAAAGGAGCCAGAATTTACCAACGTACACTGCCAAAGAGCCACAGTAATAAGTCAGCAGCCCCCCGCATCAGTTCCCCAACACCACACCCTCTCCCCTGGCTCCCAGAGCCTCCTGCCCACAGGCAGCTCTGCTGAACAGCACCTCTCTCTCTCTCGCCCTGCACCTCCCGATCAGCTGTTTCTTGGCATGCAGGAGGCTCTGGAGGGGGAGGAGCGAGGGCATAGCAAGCTCAGGGGAGGGGGCGGGAAGGGGTGGAGTGGGGACAGGGCCTGTGGCAGAGCCAGGGGTTGAGCAGTGAGCCCCCCCCGGCACATTGGAAAGTTAGCGACTGTAGCTCCAGCCCTGGAGTTGGTGCCTATACAAGGAACCACATATTAACTTCTGAAGAGCCACACATTGGCCACCCCTGGACTAGATGATCACAATGGTCCCTTCTGGCCTTAGACACACTTCAGTAGGAGTTTTGAGTGCAAAACTTTAATAGAATTAAATGGCTTTTGAGAATCCTGGAGTTTTGGATGTGCTAGGAACACCTAATAAGGCCCTAAGTAAGGACTACAGGATTTTGTCTGTAGTGTAAACTTTAAGGTTTCTTTTATGCTCACAGTCACTTGCCTGCATGACCCTTTGTATGATTGGGGCCTGTTTTGTAAATGGGAGACTTTTTTTTTTAAAGCATATCCAGCTCAAACACAAACAATACACATTGTGGCAGGCTTTCCATTTCGCTTTTAGTCACAGGGCATGAACATGGCAAATCTATTTACTTTTCTCTTGTGGTGAAACAAACTGTAAGACAACTTGAAGCACAGACTTTATTCAAATTCATACCAAAAAGTACTTTCCTTTTTCCAGGAAAAATTAAAGTTAAAAAAACTGAAAACATACATAGTTTAGTTTAGATTCTTATTCTAAAGCATCTAGTGCAGTACACAGAGCTGATAT